CTTTTATGGAAGTACTTTTACGAAAGCACTTTTATAAAAGCACTTTTACAAAAGTACTTTTATGAAAGCACTTTTATAAAAGCACTTCTATAGAAGCACTTTAATAAAAGTACATTACTAAAGTACTTTTATGGAAGTACATTTACGAAAACACTTTTATAAAATCACTTTTACGAAAGTACTTTTATAAAAGCACTTATGGAAGTACTTTTATGAAAGCACTTTTATGAAAGTACTTTTACAAAACATCTATGCCAATTGGTAAACATTGACTATTGGAGACCTATGCTGGCAATTTGTGAATATTGGCACAACTTTTTTTTTTTTGAAGAATGAAAACGAGCAACATGGAACACTTGTCAATCTGAAAATAATTCATTTTTAGGAAAAAAGTGTTTGGTTCATAGCAATATTTTCTCATCCTACCTATTTTTACCCATTTTTTTCCATTTTAGAATTTCATCTTGGGTAAGAATGAGAAAGAATGAGAATTGAACCAAACATGGCCTTAGATGTGACAATGGCAACATTCTTGTACTCAAACTCAATGCTGGAGCAATATGCCATTGAATGCTTTTTATAGGCCTATGAGATCAGATTATTACCTAAGTAGATATAAAAGCTGCCCTAGAACCATGTATTATCTAAGCGGTCCAATGCATGCCAAAAAATGTATGAAGAAACGAAGAAGATGGTGGTGAAGCATAGTCCATAGCCCAAGGTGGACTTAAAGATATAGAAAAATCCTCTTAGTTGACAGACCTTGATTGAGAAATAGATATTCGATCATGACTATATTAAGTATTGTAGAGCACCAACAATAGTTCGGTACATAGAAAAATTAGGTAGGGGTGCAAATTGATATCCGATTCGATCTGAGATCTAATCCTATTTGGTCAAATTCAGATCACCCMTGTTCACTGGATCGAATTGGGATCATCCCTTATCTCATCTAATATATGCTATATATTTATAAATATAAACATATATAATACATATATGTGTTATTTATTTATTTATTAATATATTATTTATATATTTTTCTAAATTCGTTATATTATTTATTTTTTATAAAAACATGTATAAATATGATGAAAATAATTAAAAAGTACTTGTATTTTGTGTTTTTTCTTTATTTAAATTGGTATATTTTATTTTTATCTTAATAATCTATTTATTTTAAAGAAAACAAGTCGAATTGGATAAGATCCAAAGATTCGGCTTACTGATAGGATTTGAATTCAATGGAGGCCTATCAGATCGGATCGGATCAAATCCAACATGAACAATGTTGGATCGGATTCAGATATACCCTGTTCGAATCCAATCCGATCCATTTGCATCCCTAGCATTACGTAGAGGAACATCATGAGAGAGCAGTTCAACACTAGAAGACATGGGTGTAGAGATGGGCTTTGCACCTTTCATGTGGGCCTTGGATAGAAGATCATGTATATTTCTTTTGTAATAAGAATAAACCGGATTTGCTTATGATAGCTTTAACCTCCAAAAAGTAGTCAAGTGGGCCTAGATCTTCGATAGAAAACTCATGGGCCAAGAAACCTGAAGAGAGGAGATGCAAATGGATTGGTCCTATATTAAGTAACAATCACGAGAAAAGGAAACAACAATACGATTTTCAACTAATTAACTAACAAAAATCAAATTAGTGGTGAGTTTAAGTAAAAAAAGGGTTTTGAGACGACGAAATTGAGAAGTAGTTGAGGTAGCCAAGTGCAAATCAAAATATCCTGCTAAATAAGTTTTTCACCATTAGTAGTAATGATGTGTTTATTTATAAATAGGGGTTTAGGAGTTTGATCAAAACTTGAGTATGCCTATGTCATGTGATTGGAGGCACTAGAGTTTATGATCTAGATATGACTAGATGAGGAACACTAATAGAAGACTTATCGGATAAACCAATGGTTGAAAATGCAGAGGAAATAGTTGAGGATGCAAGTTGTCATACCTTTTCCTCAATGAAAAAACCCGATATTTCACCATTTGATCTAGAGAAAGAGAAAATCACAAAAGCATCATCTTGTCCCTTCACTGTAGCCTGATAGGCACATAGGTTAATGAGAAGCAACATGCCCATACTCTTTAAATTCATAGCATTGCACTTTTGATATGTATTTTTTATAGCTTTCTAGCAATAGTTGACTAACCAAATAGTTTTTCTCTCTTAGCAACTCACTAAGGATGGCATCAAGAGATGGAGTACTACCCCTACTAAGGATATTTGCCTTAACAACTTTATACTCTAGCTTTAGGTGCATTAAGAAATGCATCACTTTCTGTTAACTCATATTTAGTCTAAATATTTGTGAGACATGCATAGTACTCTTGAATCTTCTTTTCACCTTGACTATAGGAAAAAAAATTCATTCTCAATCTGGTATTGATAGGAAAAGTTGGATTGTTGATATACCTTCTCCATGTATGTGCATTTCCTTGGTAGTACAAAATCTCCGCATAGGTATTACAACATCTGTTGTGATTGAACTGAGAATCTAGGAAACCATTTTTGCATTATTGTCCTCTAGGTTTGTAATTTTTTAGCTTCACTACTATTTGGCTTCTCAAGTGTACCATCAATTAGACATAGTGCCCCTTCCTTTCCGTTGAACTTGACTAATAGGGAATTTGTTTTTGTTCATCACAAAATAGCAAAAGAAGACAATGAAAGAGCAAGGAAAAGATGATAATCATGTACATTAATGATTGCATGCCCAAAAATAGGTAGAAAACTCAATATACCGAACTAAGGAAGGGATCAAAACCCTTTAAAACAAATTCAGATCACCACAAGGCTTAAGGGGGATGGAAATTAACCTAGGGTGACACAAAATCTCTAATCTTAGCCTTAAAAGTTAATTCAAAAGGGGAAAAACAAAAGATCACTAGTCCACGACATCCTTTTCTAGCAGAAAATGACTTCTCCTATTCAGACCAAACCTCCTTTAGGAAAAAATCCAAACTCCATGAGATTTTGAGGTCAGGGTGACCCAAGATGCAAAATCTTAGCCCCAATAGATAAGCCAATCAAGAGAGAGAGAGAGAGAGAGAGAGAGAGCAGCAAGAACATTGATTTGAAAGGAATTTTCTCCCAAAAAATACAGTTTATCTTGTATTGATCAAAACAATCACAAAGGAAACCCTATAACAAGTTCAACATATTGATTTGATGACCGTAATTACAGTCTTAACAGCTAAAAATGAAAGTTGTGTTCACGAACTTGCTCTGATACTATGTGTAGGTAGGGTAAGGCTTGGATGGGGGATGGTCTCTTTGAAAGGCAGAGAAAGATAAGGAATTGGGGAGATTGGCTTTCGAGTTCAGGGTGCTAGGGTAAGGAGTTCAAAGCAAAGGGTGCTCGAGTGCTGGTGCTGGATACTAAATGAGTTTTAATACAAGGAGGATCTCTATTTATGGGGGAGATCTCGAGATCCTAAAAGGTAGGAGATAAATGTACTTGTGACCCGGGAAAGGGAATATTAGATTTGTTGTCAATCATTAAGTGCACCATTGGGTTTTCACCACGTGTCTTGTGAGGATCTTCTTGAAGATCAGGTTTCTTTCCACTTAGGATTCCTCATTACTCACGTGTGCTACTACATCTCGTGTGCTTTATTTTATTGGCGTGGCGCTTAGTGACATCACTGCCTGGCGGCAGTGTCTTGTTAACCCTACGTGGTGTTCTGCCATGTCTTTTGATGGGCTGTGTGTTTATCGCGGATTTGGGTACGCGCGGGGCTCACCATGGGCTCAACCCGGGTTTCTTTTTGGCTTGGGTCATGAATGGGATCGTAGGGGCATGCGATGAACCGTGGGTTTATCGCGGTTCTGCGACGCATGATGTGGATTCATTGTAGGTCTGGGGTGTACTATGGGTTCATCGCAACAAGGAGGTTGGCTGTTTGCATGCAACCACTTAGTGTCAATTTTATACTTGATGTTTTTTGAGGGTCTTAGTGAACACTATATATCTACACTATGTTAGACTAGTTCAAAGTTCAAACAATATAGATTTGAATTGGGTATACATTCACCTACCCAAGAAAGAACAAATTATATTAGCTATAAATAGTGTGAAAGGACACTTATGTTCCTCATAGACAAGAAAACTACAAATACAAGTAAGAAAATTAAAAGAAAAAGGTGAAACATAACAAGATAAAATATAAGCAATGTACAATATAAACATGGTCCCATCACCCCATATCTCTAGAGACCTATACCTAATTTTAGAAACATGTTATTGCTTTCCCTAGTTTTTCTTTGCTTGAGTATTAAGTTTGTGTTCCCATAAAAAAAACTATTGAATTTTTGCTTGTATTATCAAAAAGGGTGAATTGTAGACACCCACCCTATACTTAGGAGGTCTTTGAACTTCTGTTTTTTTTTTTTTTTGAAATTTCTACAATATTCTTTAATTGCATGTAATTTTTGCAACTTCTTTGTTTTATTTCAAAAATGTTTTCAATTTTTCGTATTTTATGTAATTTTTACTAACTTATATTATTTTTTCGGAGTTTTTATGAACTTTGGTGTTTTTTTCTGATGTTCTATAACTTTTTAAAATATATGGGTTTTAAATTTGTTTGTTTTTTATGCATTTTATGATATATTTTGTTATAAATATATGCAATTTTTATAATTATTCCCTATGAAAACTATTATAAATTTTTAAACGTGCAATCGTGCATTATATTTGAAAATGAGACGAGAATCTTTTCTGAAATTAGCTGATGGAATGATAAGGGCGGGGCAAAGAAGGAGGTCTTTGTTGCAAATAAAAGTTCAAGGAGTTAAAGACTATTATGCAAAGTACAGGGTGGTAGGCTGTAATTTACCCAATTTATTTTCGTATGCCATTGCAATCCGAATTCGATTCGACTGCAAACAAAAACGAATCAAATTTGGATATATTCGGTATCTGATTCGACCCGATCCGTTTATAGCCCTAGGTAGATACAACCCGCCGTCGAAGTTTCTAAATACTCATCTGCGAAACCGAAACAGGCCTTCACGGCACTCCACCACCAACTGCCTTTACATGCTTTCAGTTTGAACTAATTTCTCTCTCATTTCTCTACGTCTTCATTGACTTATTCTCTAGACTAAATGGCTCTTAGATTACGGCGCCTCAGAGAAATTTCAAGAGCTATGCCTCGATATTTATCTTCAGGTAAAAGCTTCCTTGCTTTTCCCCCAGTAGCTCAATCCGAGGCTTTTCTGTTGAGTATCATTGCAAAGGAAGCAAAATGGTAGCTCCAATGCGGAATTTGTATTGAATGGTCTGTATTTAATATAGTTTAATATTTAATGTAAAGAATCAGAAAACACCCAGAAATTTTCTGAGCTAATTACAGTATACTTTAGTGCCTGAATTTTTTAGTCACTTCTTTATGTATAGACGTTATTGGAAAATGGGTTTTCTAAACAGCGATTAGTACCCACAAAGAAAAAGAAAATGCGGCTTTTGAATTTAAGTCTGTATTGCAACATGATGTTGGAAACAGTTCATCAACGATGAAAACCAGGGATGTTTGATGTATTTCTTTTTATAAGGTTACTTATGAGTGCTGTTATATATACCGTTATAGGAATGTTATGTACATGTATGTGTTCTAAGTACTGTTTGAATTTTGTTGGGAGAAGGAGAGAGTACTCTCAACCACATTGAATTGTCTTATGTGGTTAGCTATCTGACTTGCATATTGGGTCTCATTGGTTCCAAACTTCCAATGCATTGGGTCATTCTATCTGCATTTTCTGAACTGCGTGGCTGAATCAATTAAAAGGTTTGTTGTTCGAATTACATGAATCACACATCATGGACTGCATGATTAGCATCATTGAAATATGGCGTGGGGGCCATTTAATAAGCAACTCCTGAATTATAAAGTAGGTATAGATTATTGTGTAAGCATCTGTCAGAATCTGTTCCCTTCTGCATTATATTCTTCCAAAAGTAAAGATTTTTGATTTGAGATGTATAATTTTCTTTGTCTGAGCAGGTATTACTTGTCTACATTCTAGACAAGATACTATTCTTCCTTCTCCATCTTTTATTCACTTGCGTAATATGTGCATGAAAATCAACAAAAGCCTTATAGATAAAGGATGCCATTCTCACAGGTAGAACTACCTTCAGCTTCACAGAAATTGAACTTCTTCTCTTTCAAGTTCATGGCATTGGAAAACTTGATGTTCAGTTAATGTAGTCTCTTAGTCATTTTCCTATGAAGATTTAACAAGAATAATTTTTTTTTCAGGTTGTCAACTTTATCAGATTCACTACATGAATCTTCTTCTGAATCAGTTCTTTTGACTTTTATGGAGTCCACTCTTGACGAGCTTGAAGGTAAACTATTTCTTTCTCTCTTGAGTGAGCTTACACTCAAGAATTTTCCTTCTTTTACCAGGTATAGAGTAGTAATTTGCCTCTTTGAAAGAAAAGTTGACTTAGTGGTGTTGTGACCTTTGGGAGAAATCAACTTTTTATTCATCAAGCATGAATTTGTGTGCTTCTAAGTATGGAATGTTGTTCTTGGGATAAAATTTTATCCTAGGACATGAATTGGGATTTTTAGTAAGGTTAAGTTTGATCAGTACTCTACAAAGGTTGGTCTCAGCCATCTGGGGTCCTAACGTTTGGCATTTTTTTGCATGAAGTGGCTGCTCTCAGACTTTGACCTGTATTCTCATGCTTTCTAGCCCAAGATTTTACCATTAAACTAAGTAATGGCCCATCTGAGCACTCTCCTTGCCTTAAATAATTAGAGTTTGTCTTTCTGAGCAGTGGAAACATAACTACTTTTTTCATAGTGTGAGTGGGATCTCAATCGTGAATTTCTAGCTTTTCCAGACTGGTGATCCTCTTTTCACACTGGGGCCTTTATTGCTTTTTGTTGCAACCTTATGCTAATTAGACATTATAGAAAATATATTTTCACTGAGTTGTCTTTCTTGTTGACAAAGAGAATGAGAGGATAAGCCCTTTCAACCTGATTTCTATCCCAAAAAACCCAAGAGGATCTTTAAACACTCCATAAGAAATGATATTTTGGGTTTTATTAGAGGAGTCTCTCTTAGGTTTCCCCCTTGGAATGAGTACATTTTTTGTTGAAGGTGACTCACCAGTTATAGTGGGTTTGATGCTCTGAAATTCAGATGGTTCTTGGAAACTCTGACATCATATCTCAGGAGCCAATTCCTCGGCAGTTGGCACATAGCTTTAATAGCTAATTTAGGTGCATCCTTTGGTCAACTAATTTTGTTGCTGAACATTTTGCAAGATAGCAGATGAGAAATACCAACTTTATTAGTGTTAGACAGTTTTGTATGCCCTTAGCTTCAATCAGAATGATGTACTTTATGAGTTTATTGTAAATGAATAAAAGTGCATATTTGATTCATGT